AATAAATATTAATTTTAATATTAATATTATATAAATAAATTTAATTAAATAATTAATAAATTAAATTTCACATTTTTATTTTTTTCGAGATTTTTAACACATGCTTTTAGAATATAAATTAAAAAAAACCCTTTCTTAATTTATGTGAAAATTTTTTAATTTAATGACATGAATTTAATTTAAATAGTTATTAAATAAAAATTTTAAAGTTACTTTAATGCCCCTTAGTTGTCTTCTTCATCCAACTTCCTAAGGTCGTTTCTCCCTCTTACATGTTTTCTTTCTCCATTTTCTACCTCCTCTCCCGTTTCACGCATCTATTTCTTTCATCTTGCTCCTTAAACATATGTAAAGGAGGCGCAAGGCCTTTGACTAGATCAGGGTCCAATTTTCATCTTCATCATCCTTTCTCAATTTCATTTTTCTTCTTCTTTCCCTCTCCTCCCTTTTTTTTTATTTATTTTTTCTTTTTTCTCTTTTCTGCTGATCTGGGTTCAGATCCCAGGTGGGTTCTCGTAAGGGAGAATTCGATGTAGGTTCAAAAGGGACCAATTTTGGGTCCTTGGATCTAGATCTGAGTTGTTTGATGTTTATTTTGATTATTATACGTTTGGATTTTTCATCCCTTTGTAACTTCGTAATTAATTTTAGTTTGGTACGCAAGAAGTAGAGAGGAAAGGGAGCAATTGAGGGTTGGATTTTATATTTTTCCAGTTTGAATTTGGCGATTTGTAAGAAAGATAAAGAGCAGGAAGATGAAGAAAGTTCTGGGAAGAAAAAAAATGGTTACAAATCATTTTGAAACTTCTGTAATGCATTAATAAAACAAGAATTTCCCAAATGATAAGAAGAATTGAAGAATGGAATATTGAAGGAGAGGAAGAGTCACCGAAGACGGAGAGCCAAGACGAAGGGGGAGGAGAGATGGGAGGCGAGGAGATAGAGTATAACGTTAATTATAATTTAATTTTGTTTAATTAAGTTTTAGGTAATGTAATCCCATTGCCTATTTAGAAAAAGGAAAAAAAAGTAATATAATCAAGAAATGAATTTTTCAAGTATAAAAGTTAATTATTCATAGATGGTAGTAAATGTGATCAATTAAATTGAGGGAGGGTCATAATATTTTATTTCATGTTATAAGCAGGGTTAAAATTTTTGTATTATTTTTAGTATAATTTTATTGTTATTTGAATAATTAATTTTTTTATTTATTTAAAATTTATAATATTAAATATATT